ACCCTTTCCGAAGCAGATCATGACTTTCAAAAGGCCCACTTGCTGAAAGCTCAGGCACGGGGATACTGTCTTTAAGCTGAGATCCAAGTCCTCTGGCATTCTACAACACAAACAGAAAACACCATTAAGTCACGCATTCAAAAAAAAAAAAAACATAAATTGAACACCTAGGTAAAAGAGTATTATTTAAACACACTCAAGTGAAAGAGAAAAAAGATATAGTTTCTGCCATCCAAGAGCACCCATGGAGACAATGAGGAGGAGCATGACGGTACACACGTGGGCCAACAGTTGACAGCAGGTTTGGGGGTGGGAAGGATTCCCGTGCTGATCTGGGAATGCTAAAAGGCATTCCAGGAACACAGCAAGAACAGGGGTAAAGATAAGAAAGTGTAAGTGAATGTGCGAGGAGGAGTTTGAGATGACTGGCTAAATACAGCATGAGAGAAGCAGAAGTAAAGGCTGGCAAAATGAAAAACCTGACACGCAAAGACACTTGGGTTTTATCGTGAAATGACAGCGAGCCTCTGCAGGCAATGGCATGATCGGATCTTCTTTCCTCAGAAAGACCCTCTGTTGGGCAGTCTACAGAGAATGATGAGCACAGAATGACAGAAGCTGCGGAAGAATCCTAAGGAACAGCGCTCCTTACAACCAGAACTAGGTGACAGGAGAGCTAGGAGAGAGTCATCAACAGAAGCTAAGAAAAAAGAACTTCAGAAAGTTTGGTTTCTATTAAGACCAAGGCACTAACTATAAAAAAATAAAGGTATCCAGTCAATGGACTGTAAAGCAAAACAAAGCTCCCAGCACAAGTACTTATGTACCTTATGTAAACCCTACACATCTACACCATGAAACTTTCAATCAGCAAGTAATCCACCAGCCTCTCCACGGAGACGTAACAGTCTGCTTCTGAAAAGACTGACAGCCTGAGAAACCTCATGGGCCAGTTCTATCCTGTCGTACAGGGTTTCAATGGCAATGGGTTTGGTTTTTGTGTATTGAGTACTCTAAGTGCTGAAGATACAGGTCTGTCTCACAGGGCTCAGTCTAATGAAGATACGTTCAACAAGCAAATAAAATGTGGTAAGTGGTATAAAAGGTAAAGTAAAAGACACCAACTTTAGATCACCTGTTATCCAAATAAGATGGACCTGCGAGTCTGTAGGAAAACGTACAACAGCTGCAAGTAATTTAGTACCAAGTCCTCTACAGTGAAACCTGAACTTGAAGGGACTGCCTTGTTTTCCAGGCCTTGCAATTTTTCCACCTTCAATAGAGAGCAGTCTCCTCACCTTCCCGTGGCTCGTTTCAGCAGGAAAATGTGTTTTCCTTCTAAGTTTCCACCTTACACAGATTCCAAATTTTGCAAGATTTTACTGAATTATTTTAGGAGTAACGTTCTATTCTGTGCAACTAGCTTTATCAAAATAAATAAATAAACAAACAAACCAGATCCCTAATTCCCTAGTGTATGTGATTTGGCCAGACACTTCATCCTGCCCAGTGTTCTTCAATCTACCACCCTAGTCCAGGCTCCCACCCCACTGTCCTGGGCCTTGCTGCTTCTATCCGCTTCCATTTTCCAATGCCACATACCAAAGGTGTGCCTAACATACACGCTCCCTCACCAAAGCTGCTAAAACACCTTCCACTGGGTCACTGATGTCTGGTTCCAGGCCTTAGCTCGGAACTCAAAAAGCTTCACAACAGGTTCAACTCCTCAGCATAGGAGTGCCGGCCAAGCGCTTTAACCGCTGCACCACTAAGACTCC